TCAGTCAAATTTATATGTTCGGAAACTGGAAGTGAAAATGGTTGGTTAGTAGTTGTCCAAAACGATCTTTTCTAAAAAGGTTTACAAAGAAAATTCCAGCTTCATTTTTTTATTCTGAATATTTTAAAAATTTACTTTATCCTTACTTTGTAGATCGTAAATAGAATGGTAAAATTTGATAATAACTAAACGGTTCTGATACAAGTGCATTTACCCTACTTACATATTATATTAATTATTTCAAAGCAATTTTAACTGAGTACACTGTTTTTAAATGCAACATCAACACATTTTCATTGCCAAATTTTTATTATTTATTTCATTTTATTTTTTTTTTTGTTTTTCATTTTTGGTTTTTATGCAAAGATATCATATAGAAATTTTGATATTTAAAAATATATGTACTTAATACACATAATATATGTACATAGGTATAAATATACTTATAATTGGCATAACTCAATGCATGTACAATAATTAATACATATGCATGTATTTATGTGAACTAATTAATTGCACTTAAAAATGGTTAATTCAATTACCATGACTATTAATGTCGACGAGCTTTTAGATGATTTTTTTTTGTTTTGTTGATTTTATAATTAAAATATCTTATGAATTCTATATTCAATAAAATTTATAAAAAGTTTATTTCAAAGGTAAAAAAAAAAAAAATTAATAATGTGTTGCTGTTTTAATAAGACACTCACACATAAACGTTAGAACAAAATCATAATTAATTTCCCTATCACTATTATTATTATTATAAATGAATTAATATTTACGATATCAAAATATATTTTTAAATTTATTAAAATTATATGATTGGTAATTGGAAATTACTATAAAATTTATTTTTAAATAAATTTTATGATTTCTTTAAAAGAATTGGCACATAAATAAATTTACTTTAAATAAAATTTTATAAATATATAAATAAAAATTTACATAAATGCATTTCTTTTCCACAAAATAAATAAATAAATTTTAAATTCAATTTAAATTATTTTAAAATTTAATCGTGGAATTTTCGAACGATAAAGTAATAATTGATAACATAAAAATTAAATTCTTTCAGACATTCTAATATGCATTTCTTGAAACTATATGTAATGTTTTGAAAATTTATAAACATAATAATTATAATGAAAACAATCTTGAAATTTCAGGAGGTCCCTTTACGAGATGATGAAAATTCAAAATCAACTGATTGTGAGGACTATCTAATTCATCGAAAATTTTCAATATGTAATGAGGTGATTATTTTAATATCACCCCATTACATATTGAACTATTTTGTTGCATAGATCTAGGTGGAGCTAAAAACGAAATTGAAGCAGTATAATAAATAATTGAAAACTTTGCAAAATTGAAATTTTTTAAAACTTTATTAAATTAGGTGGTCAAAATGTAAATATCTAGTTCATTTCTGCTTAGTTTTAAAAATAAAATACATAAAATACATAAAACTTATAAGTACTATTTATAATAAATTTGCCAGGTAACTAAATATTAAATAATATGATTAACAGGTATGACTATAATTAGATCAAAATCTAGAAAAGTCCAGTTTCTGATACTAAAAATTCTTTCTTTAAATTAAGATGAATAAATTAATCAAAACTAATTTTATTTTCTTTCAAATTTTGATAATAAAAACAAATAAGTAGAAAAAAACCATAGGCTAACACCTTTTTTAGCAAAATATTTAACAAATTATAAATTTTAATTCACTTAACATTTTTTGATATTTTAAAATTAAAATTAATATTTTTCATTAACATTTTATTTTCCCAAATACAACCATAATGTTAATTCATGCATTTATAATAATCCCTTTTTATTTAAGTACTTTCTTAAGTATCTGTTCATTCACAATATAAGAAAAAAATAAATTGTACAATTTAACCTCACTTTCAATAAAAAGAAAACATACCATATTATCGGTATGTAGGTATGTATGTAAAAATGTGTGTAGAATACTTGTCTATACCATAAATTGTATATCGTATTGTAAATAAAAAAAAATATTATATATACATATATACACAACATTTTTATTCTAAAATTTAAAATACAAAAAAAATTTACAAGACTTTATTTTTTTTCTCTGTGTATTAAATGCCTAAATAATTTACACCATTTTTTCTTATACAATTTAAAATTTATACTATTAATGATTTGGAAAACATAAAAAAAAAACCTTTCTTCGAAAATAAAATGAAAAAGGAAAGAAAAAAAAATAAAAGAATTAATAAAAAAAAAAATTATTTTTGTTAGTGTTTTTGTTTGGAGTTTGTTTGATGAATTCCTATTAAAAAGCCATTGATTCTTTTCTAATATACATAAATAAAACATATCTATAAAATAATACAAAATTATATGTTGGTACCTATATACATATAGAAAATAAATTTATATATATAAACAAATATTTATAACGATTACTCCGGGTAGGGGACATTATTATGTTAAAAATGCTTCAACAATAAAAAAAGAAAACAAAAAGAATACAACGTAAGTATGTACAGATTACAAACATTATATATATATATATATTCAATATATTAAAATGTAAGGAGTAAATGAAAAGAAACAGAACTAGAGTCCATACAATAATATCATTACACACCTATATTACATAGATGCGGTTATAAGTAGGTACTAATAGTAGCATTGTAGATGAATTCACATTCATATGTGTTTAGTATATATATTATAAATACATTTATATATAATATATATGTATATATTAAGGGAGGATTAAAAAATTTTCTTTAATATTTCTTTTTTTGTTATTCTTTTGATATTAAATTTTGTGTGTACACACACAAACAACATAGAGAACAGAAAATCTTCCTTTTATTTTCTGTTTAAAATTTCGAATATATATAGGGACAATATTTTACAATAATATGAATATACTCATAAACATATGTACATTTTATTTTATACTCATTTTATATAACATTAAAAATATATGTACCTACAAGTATAATTTTATAAATATTATGTAGACATGTGTTACATTATAATTAAATAAATGCTAAATAATAGTAAAGTTAATATCTAACTAACGTTTTATTTTAGAGGTAAATATAATTAAAAAAAAAATTTTTTACTAAATAACATACACTAAATATTCTTGAACATTTTAATTCTTTTAAATTTTATTCATAATAAACTGATACTGAAAATAATATTAATTGAATCATTTTCTAAAATTAATAAAATTTTTAACGGGAATCTGTGGTATGCCGATGGAACACCAAATTCTAAGACACTATATTAACTCTATTAATTGTGTAAATGAGCTGGTACTTAGCAAATACAAGGAATTATTAAGATACTAAAGTTTCAACTGGCGTTTATTAACAAAACAATTGTATAAATTAAAATTTAATAAAATTTTATATTTTAAACTTTATAGCTACCTCAAAAGAACACTGTATTACATTTTATATTATGAAAGTAGCATTTGCAGTGTAACTGTACAACTTGCATATTTTACTATTTACATATCATATTTAAAGTGTATATCCCATAATTAACCTATCAATATTTAAAACAATTAAGCAAACGGCACAAGCCCTATCCAATAATGGTTTAAATAAGTAGGTATGTAGGTAGGTACCTAAATTCATTCTATTCAAATATTTTTAATATAATTTTAAAGTTATTGAAGTTTACCACAATAAATATTTATATAATGGTTAAATTTTTAATAAAAATATTTAATTAGGTAGTTAGTTACCAATATGGCTTTCTTAAAGAAGGTGTAAATTAATTTAAAGAAGAACTATATTTCATATTAATTATGAACCACAATTGGACACATGAGTTATTTATACAGAAGCAAGGAATTATAAATTATAAAAAAAAATAATTATAATATTTATAATTAAATTTTCTCAAATGTGCAAATTTTGAGTTATGTCAGTGTTGCGGCAAACGAACAATATATAAATAATTTTTTTTTTTTGATATTGGGAACAATTGAGATAAGTAAACATAAAAATCCTAAATTTTATAAAATATACGAATTGTTTATGTGTAATTATCCATCCATATCACTATCTTCCCTTTGGAATTTACATATTAAATTTACCTACCTACCTACCATTCAAAATATTCCTTAAAAAAAATATGTTACTACTTATCCCCTGAAAGTAGTAAGGGGTCAAACCAAATTTTTCTTTAATTTAGTAGCAGCAATAAAATTTATATTAATTAAACAATTCTATGTTTAAATAATAAAATAATTTTATTTAATGTGCTAGGTGTTTAATTTATATTTAAGATCATAGTAATAAAATATACTTGTATAATATTAAATTTTTTTCCTATTAACAAATAAACATTATATTTTAAGCATATTAATTTTGTATACATTATGTATATAATTATGCACATGCATACATATACCTTTATACTTCAAATTCAAAACTTCAGTTTGTAGTACCTATAATACCTATATAAATGTCATATTACATATGTATATACATATCATGCATATTATAATAGAAAATATATGTGAGTATATACAATCGATATATATATTATATACGTACATATGTATGTATAGAAAAACGATTGTAACATTAAAATTACAAATTTGTAAAGAAAAACATAATAAATTTGTAACATTTTCAGCTTCTACAATTATAAAAAAATTTCCATTTTATCATTTAAAACCTAACATCATACTTATATACAAAATATAAGTTATATTTAAAAGGGTTTTTTTTTTTCTTCTACTTTGTATGTGATATTTTATTGTAATCCATTGCTGCTGAGAGAGATGTTTTTGTTATACAAATTCGCAAAATTTTGTATGTTAAAACATTTTTTTTTCTCATTTCTTTTGTAAATTATAAAAATTTTTGAATTTAGATACCATACATTTCACTGTATATACCATAAGTATGTAAGTGAAACAAATATTCAATAAATATAATCTAAATAAAATTAATATCATTCTTTTTTTTTCTGTTTCTCACCTTGCAACTTTCTCGTCGCAGCCATAGCTATGTAAATCTCTTGAACAAATTTTCAGACATAGTCTAAGCATACGAAAACGATTGGTTGTATTTTTTCCCCAATATTCTGTGTTATTATAATGTTCTAATTTTATATATGTATATAATATTTTTTTTTTATAATTTACAGAATCCGCGATTTCGATAATTTATTCTGTAATTACGGTAAAAAAAATTAGAATATTTATAATATTCTTTTCCTTAAAATACCAAAAAAAAAAAATTTTCGCCTTTGCGTTTTCTTTTTTTTTTTTTTCGTTTTTACTTTTTTGTGGTTACGCACTCCTCGATCCGTCCGTGGTGTATAAAATGAAAATGAAAAAAAAAAATTGAAAAAACTTCTGGCTATTTTACACAAATTTTCACAAAACCAATCACTTTTTCGTTATTCAAAGCAATTAAAATATGATTTAAACTTTTACTCAGATTATTTTTTAAAGGATTTACTTTTTTTAAAGATAGAAATTTATTGGAAAAAGAAATTTTTTTAATATTTCGATTTTTTGACGCGATTTTTTTTTTTAGTGGTAGAAGTGTGAACTCGATAGATTTTATACAGATGTGTGAGTATTTCATGTATATACGTATACAAGATTTATTGAAAGTTTAGTACTACTTTGACATAAATCTAGTATAAAAATGCTTTGATCTAGTATTAAAAATTTGAAGTAAAAATGTGGAATATAAATAATAATAATGTAGTGGTATTTTATCTATCTATCACTTTTATTCCCAATTTATATTATATATGTTAGAAAAGGTAAAATATTTATAAATGTCAAAAAATTATTTATTTTCAAAAATGCCGTAAATTTTTGCTGTTTTGTAGAAATGCCATTTTGACAATTCATTTTTTGAAAAGTCTTTTGTACATATTTTTTTAATGTAGAACAGCTGAAAAATGAAAATTGTAAAAAATGAGGGTGTGTTTTATGCAACTGTTTCAGATTTTTGATTATGATAGCTGAGATATGTTAATATGTATATATAATATATGTAAGGTATATATATTGATTTGGGTTTGGGTATACTGTTTACATACTTATGTATGCTTAGTTATATTATTTCAATATTAAATTATTAAAACTTTTATATTTTTAATTTAATCTGAAAAAAACGTTACACAAATTGTGCAACAGACGAATTTTAATAAAAATAAAAAATTCATATTCTCTTAGACGCATTCTCTTAGAGGTTATTTTGGGATGATATTGGAAAATATAATCAAAATAAAGTGATTTGAAAATTTAATACGGCGATGAATGAAAATAAAATCTTTTCAAATTTTATTCATCGGACTTTACGATTAAAGTTTTTTTTTCCTTTTTTCAAAAATGTTTTTTTACAAAACTTAACATTTTTTTATGTCAGATCTGTTTATTTTTCTGGAATATTTATATGTACATATTGTACTTAATTTATTACATACGTACATATGTATGTATATACAAGCAATATTCATGTACGTACATCTGCTGCAATTGAAATTTATGGAGATCTGCAGATGAAAGATTAGTTAATCTAATGCATTTTCAAAGTATGTATATAAATGTATGTATTAACATAATATAGATTATGATTGATCATTATGATGAATATTAGTAATTTTATAGGAACTAAAAAAGTTTTTAATCTATCCAACATCATTACAATTTTAATTTATAGCCATGATAAGGCACCTACATAATATGGATATTAAAAATGTAGTTTTCAGTCTATTATCAAAAGTTTATTTATATAAATGGTAAACTAGTAGATCTTAATTTAAAATTTTTAAATTTCATTAAAAATTTTTAGCATGAATTATTTTTAACTTGGTCCATCCTATCTTAATAGTTTTCTTTTATTAGAATAGAAAAAAGTAAAATAAAATCAAAAATATTTTGTGATATTTAATTTTTTTCTTTTATTGCTAATGCTGATGCGTACTACAAAAAAAATGTTCTTATTTTCTAATTTTTAAAATGAATAGTAAGATTTCAATTTTTTTCTTTGAAATATTTAAAACTTGTTACTATATTTATGCATTTGAAAATGTATATTTTTAAATTTTTAAATTATTTACAACATTAATTTTTTCTCTTCTTTTTTTTTAATTTATTTGATACGGATGTACAAAAAAATAGTACTTACAAAGGTACTTTTATTTTCTTTTTTAAATTTGTTAAATATATATTTTTAATTTTTATTGAATACATTGAGTAAACTTTATTTGTTACTTTCATTATTTATTTATATAGATTTTATTCATGTTTCTTTGAAAAAAAAAAATTGTAAACAAAAAAAAAACAGATCCTTTAATTATTCCTTACCTTAAATTTACACAGGAGAGTTTCTAAATAATTTAAAAAAAAATTAAAAGTAAAAAAATATAAAATTGAAAGGAAAACACTAAAAAAGGATATCTCACATAAATACTAAACAATTGTGTTACGAAAACAGAAATATTATAAAAGTTTTATATATAATTTAAAAATGTAATTTAAAATTAGTCATTTTTAATATAAAAAATTTTTGTATGTATGAATAAAATTAAAACAAAAATAAACATACATACATTATTCAATAATCATGAATTTATCTCAATTTTTGTTGATTTTCTTTCTGTTAATAGTAAACTAAATATTACTGAAATACTGAAATAAAAATTACAATTTGCATAATATAAGATTAATTAAATTCAATAGTTTTCAATTTAAAAAATAAAAAAAAAGCAAAAAAGAAAAGAAAAATATGCATTTTAATCGGAAACCTATTAATGAGTGGGAATCGGTAAATATTTTATATACAGTTGTTTCTTATGCTATTTTATTTTGATTAATTTTTTTGTTTCTTGGTTTTGTTTTTTTGAAAATATCAAATTATTTATTTAAAATGCATACTATTTTTTTGTTTTTGAATAATTTCTAAAAATATTATCATTTTTTTTCAAATAATTAGTTTTACTATAAAGTATTTTTAAAATTATATTATTTAATTTAGTACTTATAATCAAATTACTGTTTTATAAAAAACATGATTTTGTCATTACCGTTTTTTCTTTAATTTTTTTTTTAGAAAACAGTAATCAATTAGCTATTACCTATTTTCTAAGAACTTAAACTATTTCGATTAAATTTTAAGACATTCTAAGTATAAATGATTATTTTTTTTTTTCTTTTCAAACAATTAATAAATAAGAATTGAAATGAAGAACAAGGTATGAATTACAAATAATAATTTTTTTTTTTGTTAAAATTTGATTGTTTGATAAGATTTTTTGCAAATAAATTTTTATTATGATGAAATTTTCATTTCAGCTAGTTTTTATGAAAATATTTAATTAAATCAGCTACTATGGTATATTTGTAGAGATTTTAATCAAAATCGGATTCATCGTCAGAGTCTACTATTCTCTTCTTTTTTGACTAAAAGAGAAAGAAACAATAGTTAAAAAATAAAATTCTATATTATATACTTATAAATATATGAATAAATATGAAATAAAATATAAATTTTAATAAATTTCTAAATTTACCATTATAACTGCATTATCACTATCACTTCCAGAATAATTCTTCTTTTTTCTTTTTACTTCACGTTTTGGTGGAGGAGACCCATCAGAAGAGTCATCAAGTTCAATTGTTTGATTATTGTCTAAATCACTTTCATGATCACTTATTTTGCCCATGTTCATGCCTTTTTCTTTCACTGCATCATTATCAAACATTTCAATTTCACCGTCTTCACTGCTTTGCCCATCTTCATCTTCTCCTAATAATTTCTTATAATCAACTTTCTAATAAAAAAAAAAAAACATAAGATAAAAAAAATATATAAATTTTTTAATTGACTTTAACTGAAAGGTGTGTGTAAATACCTTTGCAGCAGCCCGACGCGTTGAGACATCACGTTTAGCTGTATTTTCATTTGTAGTCAATCTATCAAAACCATCACTTCCTAAATCATCATCCATATCACTTTCGTCGCTACCCCACTGCTTTTTCTAAAGTAAACAAATAAGTAAATACAAAATATTACTTTAAGTAACAACAAGTTTATCCAAATACTTATAAATTACATTAGAAAATCTATTAAACACAAATATGTATGTATTTTAGTTGGTAATGAAAACATCATTCCGTTACACTCGCAATTTAAGTTATACCTCGACATTTCTTCGTATTTACGATTATGATTGAAGTTAAATCCGACTTTTAAAGCCGATTCCGTTGTGTCAATTAAATTTATGATAAATATATATAAAAACGAATCTTACCTTCTTAAAAGCTAGTTTAGTTTGTTTCATTCCATCAGATTTGGGTTTTGGACCTCTCTTCTTTGGAGAAGTGTCCTTAATTGTGTCTTTTTCTTTTTTAACTCTTGGGGCGCCTGTTCCTTTTGGAAGACGCTTTTTCTTAACAATACCTGCAGCTTCAGCCGCTGTTTCTCCGGCACCAGGTTTTGAGGCGCCTTCAACTAATGCATCGAATTCATCAATTTCTTCAGAAGGTTCTTCCTTTCCAACACCACTAGCAGAAATACCTTTTTCTTTTTTAATTTTGGGGTCTTTAGATCTATAACGTTTAGCAGCTTCTACTTGAGCTTCAACTTTCTTTAAAATTTCAGAAGTAACTTTGAAATCAATTTTCATACCATTTTTCGAAGGATATATATCTTCAGTAGCGCTTTTGATATTTCTCTTTCCCATCTGTTTCATTTTCATAGTCATATTCTTAGAAATTTTAGCATTAATTCCAAGCTCTTCAAGACGTTCTTTTTCTTCAACTTCATTTAATTTTTTTTCAAATGCGTCTAAATCATCAAGCCAAAGAATTTCGGCGGTTTTTCCTTGCAATGTTTTAAGTTCTACAAGCTTCTGATCACGTTGTTTGAGTAATTCATTTTTTCGCTCTTCCGTTAGCATCCACATAGACATTCCAAGTAAATAATCGAATTTCTTAACGTCTGTCAGTTTTTGAAATGCTTTTTCTGGATCGACTGGTTTTTTATCCTTTTTAGTTGTTGTCGCTTCCTCTTCTTCTTCTTCTTCTGGTTCTTCATCTTCGTCCACTTTCAAACGACGCTGCCATTCCTTTACTGGATCAGGTCTATAACCTCTTTTTATCAACTCATCAATCATATCTTTTCGTTTTTTATTTTCAACAACCAAAGTTTTAGAGCATTTTTCTAAAATAAATCGTGCTTGATCAGTTAAACGATCCGCCTGAGCTTGCAATTGACCTTCTAGATAATCCTTCCGCTTTCTATAATACTCCAAACGCAAAGGATAAAATTCTTTTAAAATATCATTAGCACTGTCGAAGCGGCGTAAACAATTGGCATGATCAAATGCATGCATTTGTCCTGTTTGTATAGAACTGCTTAATTTGAATGTTCTATGGAAACCTCCATCTTCTCTTTCCAAGCGATCCATTTCCCCAGCTGCCATTGTCACAACAAAACGAACAGTGGTATCAGTGTGATGCTCCTTATAATCCGAAATAATGGGTTTAATTTTATCTGAACCATGTAATAACGGTTCAAGAACATTTTCTTTATAAACTTGTGTCCAAGTTCCAATGGGTAATTCAGTAATTTCAATTTTATTATCACTTAATATTGATACGTTTCCCACACTCATGTAGCGACTCTCAGCAATTAGCTCAATCGTCCCTTTGAAATTTTTATACCAAGGATGAATAGCTTTAGGTTCTTCTCCAGATAACATTAAGCGAATATTGGAGACCAAATCTCTAGGATTATAATTTGGAATTTTGGTTGACCAACCAGTGCCAATACCTATCAAAATTAAATTTTAATTCATTGAACTTTGGAAAAATATATTTATAATTACCATCTGCACCATTGACGAGAACTAATGGTATAATTGGCATATACCATGTAGGCTCTATTTTTTGATTATCATCTACTTCATAATTTAAAAGTGGATCATCTTGTGGATGAAAAATTAATCTTGTCAGTGGTGACATCAATGTAAATATGTAACGCGGGCTAGCTGAGTCTTTTCCTCCAGTTAATCGAGTACCAAATTGACCTCTCGGTTCAAGCAAATTAAGATTGTTTGAACCAATGAAATTTTGTGCCAAATTAACAATCGTTGAACACAGTGATTGTTCACCATGATGATAAGCTGACATTTCCGCAACAGATCCAGCCAATTGAGCAACTTTTACCTCACGTTTATCATTACGTTTCAAAACAGTGAAAATGACTTTACGTTGCCCGGGTTTAAAACCATCCACTAATGAAGGTATAGATCTTACATTATCTGCATTTGAAAACAATATCAATTCCAAATTAACAAAATCGGCATAACTAATTTCTTTAGTTCCTTTTGTGTACAAATATCTTTCCGGCAAACCTAAAAGTTTTCGTCGTTTGCATTCATCCATATGTTTAGTTAACCATTCTTTACGTTGATCGACAAACTTCTTTGAAAATGCCATTAAAATACTATCGTCATCTGTTTGACCGTCATGTTTAAATAAAATTCTGTGTTTTTCCATATTTTGGAAATATTCTTTTGCCTCTTTAGATGTTGAAGTACCCAAACCTTTGTAGTACTTTATATTGTATGTATTATGGTTGGGCGTATCGTTTTTCCATTCCTCAAATTCAGGCAAAGAATAAAAACTAAATTCTTCATTTCTCTTTGTAGCCTTTACAAGTGGTGTAATAAATTCTTCCAAAAATGGTAATCGCAATAATTCTGGCCAATTTGTGTGAATGAAATTGATTAGTAAACCCTTAATATGAGACCCATCCTGATCTTGATCAGTCATTATCATTATTTTTCCATAACGTAAAGTTTTTAAATCTTCCATAGTTAAATACTTTTTTTTATATTGCAATCCAACAATTTTAATTAAATTGTTAATTTCAGCATTTTCCAATATTTGCTTATGTGTTGCCTCTCTCACATTTAGCAATTTACCTCTCAACGGAAATACACCATAATGATCTCTTCCAACAACACCTAAACCAGAAACTGCTAAACTTTTTGCTGAATCTCCCTCAGTTAAAATTAGGGTACATAAAAGTGAATTTTTAGATCCTGCATCATTAGCATCTTCAAGTTTTGGAATGCCTTTGATTTTAGTATTTTTTTTGCCACTTGTTTTAGCTAAGTTCTCTTGAGCCTTAAATTTAGCCCAAGATAGTACAGATTCCACTATACCAGATTTCACGACACCATTTATGAATTTTTCGGATAGCGTACATTTAGAACCAAAACTTTTAGCTTGCAAAGTCATATTCTCTTTTGTTTGAGAATCAAATGTTGGATTAACGATCAAACAATTGACAAATACCCAAAGATGATTTCTTACTTGAAAAGGTTTAATATTAATTCCTCCTTTGTTTTTCTTTTTTAATACTTCTATTAGCTGTTTCACAATTGAATCAACCACAGAATCAACATGACGACCGCCTTTAGTAGTGGCAATAGAGTTTACGAATGATACTTGCTGAAAGCCACGGTCTGATGGTGCAACCGCTACTTCCCAACGCTCATTGACATTTTCATATATTACCTTAAGAAAAAAAGTTTTACAGTTCGTTTACGAAAGTGTAGGCAAAACATCTTTAAAATATTTATTTAATTTATCTGTTTAAGTACCTTTATTGGGGATCCAGTTTCATCATTAGAATCTTTAAGATAAAGATCAATATAATCTTTAAAATTTTTTACTGGTAATTTTTCGCCATTCAGAAAAACTGCAACTCCGCGTGTTGACGCAGCTATATCGTATGCTCGTCGACTCATTAGAGCTACAATATCCTCATCTAAACGATCCATTTTAAATTTTGCTAAATCAGGAGAAAAAATTATTTTTGTATAATCATTGCCAAAAAAATCTTTAATTTTAGGCTCAGATGTTTTGGTCATATTTGATCCCCATATTTGTTTAAAACTTCTCTTATATTCAGACGAAGCCGTTTCAACGGTAAATGAAGAACTGAAAATATTGCATAATTTTGCACCGTAACCATTTCGCCCACCAGTTACTTTTTCTTCTTCATCGTTGTAATTGGACGAAGTTAAAAGATGACCGAAAATCATTGTTGGAACGTACATTTTTTCTTCTTTATGCATTACTACTGGAATACCAGCACCATTATTCCATATAGAGATCACATTTTTCTCTGCATCAATATCAATCTTTATCATTGACATTTTTTTGTCTCTTTGCTTGTTGTCAGCGGCATTCACTAAGATTTCATCATATATTTTATACAACCCTGGGACAAAATTTATTTCTTTCTGAATCATTTTCTTTGCCTCATTGTCATATACCCACATTAATTCCTTAGTATGTTCCACGGTACCAATATATGTATCAGGCCGTAATAGAACATGCTCTAATTGCGTTTTCTTTTGATATATTTTTTCAATTCCAACTTTCTGTTTTGATTTACCAGCGGCATTTGATGCAGCTGTTCCATTTTCCATTATGATAATCTAAAAATAATTAGAGAAATTAACGAAGTTTTATTAATTATTCAGGAAGGTAGATAACGAGGCATAGAAAAAATAATATTTAACAAATTGTTTTTCTGGAAAACAATTAGAAAATAATGTAATGTTAGAATAATTAAAATATTATGTAGATTACTATAATTAATGTCAACTTGATATACATTCATATATATAAAATTCAAGGTATCAAATTTTGTAAGCAAATACAACAGTCTTTTATAAACTCAACCATAAGCCATTAGCATATTTTTATCTGTTGATATCTTGCCTCTAAAATCATGTAAACACTCTTGCTAACTTTGAATTTCAACTGATACCAAAGAAAAGCGACATAGCAACAAAGCAACATTTAGCGGCCTTTTTCGCAATGGAAATTGAAATTGTGCAAATTGAGCATTTCTCTAAACTGAATGAACTGTACGTACACATATATTTATTGTACCTCTCTGTTGTTTATATTTTTAAGATAAAAATATATATTATGCATTAAAATAAAGGTTAGGTTAACAATGTTAACTAGTTAATTTAAATATTTCTGTTAAAATATTACATCGCCATCTTAAGAACTTGTTAATGGGTTACTGTATGTAATTAACTTAAACACAAGAGTTAAGCCCTAAATGCAAATTTTTCAAGGGAAGATATTTTATCAAAGTTTTATACTTTTACAATTCTATAACTATTTCAATAGCATATCAACTTTATAAAAGGTCTACATTACAAGTCACTTTATTAATTTAAATACAATGCCAAGCCAGCCACTTTTATGTACATACATATAATTTTCTAGTAACTAAATTATACAAATTAAACACTTTGTTCATCGTTTATTACCTTTTTAGTCCCGAATTTATTTCTAAATTACTTATCAATTGGTAAACTTTGATTTTTTTCTATATTTTGAAAACTTCTATAAAAATTCAATTAATTTTCAATATTTTCACGACGTCGGAGAAAAAAAGCCGCCATAAAACAAAAGATTCTTTATAACGAGTGTTGCCGTTTCGTATTCAAAAAAATACTTTACTCATAGAATTACATTAAAATAATAGCGTTCTGTTTTTTGTAATAGAAAAAAAATCTGGATGTATTCAATCTATATAATATGTATTGTAAGATGGTAGATACATATTGTAATAGCATATTAATATGTCAAAAATTTAATGTGTTTTTAAAATTTTCCAAATGAATGATTAACTTAATTTTACATTAATTTGATTTCGCAATCACCCACAAACGATTGTGTGTAATATAATTTATGCAATGGTTAATATACCATCTTTTATTTATCATAAATACTATTTTTATTTTTAGCAAAAAGTTGAATTGAAATTTTAATTTGCGAACTTGTAAAAATTGAAATAATATTACTTAAAATTGACATGAGCTTAACATTATTAATTTGTCATTTTCAAACTTTTAATCCGTGTATATGCAGTCGATTTTCAAATCAAGCTAATAATTTTATATGAGGTCGAAATCCGCTTCAAGTTGCATATAAACGCAGTACATATATGTATTGTAAAAAATATTTTTTCTATTTATTTAAGTAATACATTTTGGGCTTGTTCCATTTTTATGTATTTTTAGAGACTATTGACTCTGTAAAACTATAAAATTTTTAAATTAAGTCATAATTACTGCTTATGAATATCGTTAAAAATTGGTGTTATTGTTGCTGAAAGGAATAATTGGTAATAATGTTGAATGAATACAATTAGGTACCATTTACATTTAGGAGACGTAATCTAAATTATTGTTTGTTTACGCGACAAAATCTAAGATTTAACCCGAGTCTGATAAAAGTTGTATAAACGTACAATGACTTATGAGAAAATCATCACTTTACTCATAAAATTCTGCATTTTATTGTTTTTAAGTATCCGTTTTAGGTTTTTAGAAAAACATAATTTAAGTACAGGGAAAGTTGACACGATTCTGAAATATATTGAACTCGTCTTTTATATAAAACAATATTCTTTAAAAAAAATTGTTTATATTTTTAAGATATTTCCAAAATTAATCTTTATATTTTTTACATTTTAAATTTTTATATACTTTTTTATGGTTATTTTTCTGGTAATTTTTCCAAGAAATTTTTCTTGGATAATTTTGAGATGTCAAAATTTTTTTGCGCGGAGGTTTTATTGTGTGGAAACGGTAGAAATATTTAAAAACTCTACCTGATGATGGTGTGACTGTTTTTTAACTGTCATTTTCTAAGCATTGAATCAATTTTTTTGTGGAGCCGTTAACTTAACAATTTTATTGTAATAATATTTTTTCAAACTGAGATAGGAAAATTATAGTGACATATGTGCATCTTTTTTCTAGTTTAAAAATTGCTAATTGAAGTTTATTAATTAGTTGCATGTAAGTTTTCTATATTGATTGATGTAAGTTAATTGAGGGAATTTCAAAAATACTCAAATATGAAACGTTTGGGAAGACCACCAAAAAGTTTGGCTAAAGTAAAACCGCAGCCAATTGAAACTGTTAGTTCACGTGTTGGTGGACGCGAAAGAGTGAGAATGCTTATTTAATTTTTAAAATACTTCCAAATTAAAATATTCATGTTTTTATTGCAGAAAGCAAAAAAAGTATTCGATCCTTCTGAGAATAACACTCCTAAAAAACGCATTAAGGCATCTAAATCAACAGAAAGGGGCCGGAATGAGTATTTGGAAACAAAATTTAAATCTAGAACTGAAAGCAAGAGTATTTCCCCAAAATCAAAGTACAATGGAGATGAATATTGCTCAATTTGCAATAAAGAGGAGAAAAAGCTAAAACTATTGGCTAACTGTAATGATTGTAACTTAAAAGGTACATGAGGATTTAAAGAATTCTGTTAATTTTTTTTAAATTAAAATAATATTTTATACCTAGCCCACATCGATTGTTTAAAAACAAAGTTTGAAGATAAGAAACTTTTGCACGTTAAATGGCGTTGTGACAATTGTAAAACGTGTGCTATATGCTATGAAACAGAAGAGATTGTTAGCTTTTTATATTCCAAGAAATTTTTTTAAATTAACATGTTTTTTTTTTACAACTTTTAGGGATCATTAATTACTTGCTCGGTCTGCATTAATAGCTACCATATTACTTGCCATATTCCAAAAGTCAATGTTAAAACAGTAAATCATGAAGACTGGCGTTGCACAAAATGTCCTGCCCCATCAGTATCTAAACAAACAACCAATCCGACTGTACAAACTAAGCCACAAATTCTAAAACCTCAAACAACTACTGCAAAATGTAATTCTACGCCTTCATTGTCTTCGGAAAATAGTTCTTCATCATTTTCTTCAGTTACAGCCCAACAATCTGTTTCAAAAAAAGACACAAATATTGTTAAAAGTGCCATTTCGGATACAGTTAAAACAACTGTTAAAGAAGAAAGTTCTGAAGGATCGGGTACAGAGACTAAACAAAATTTTGATAAAAACTTTCAAAAATTTGATTTAAAAGAAATTCCAGATATTTCTTCATGGTCTTGCGAAAAATTATCTGAATTTATGAAAAAAATATTCCCATACGGAGCTAAACTGTTGCGAGAACAAGATATAGACGGTCAATCATTATTATTAATGACACGAAAGGATGTTTTGAGTTTGAATTTAAAACTGGGTCCTGCATTACGATTATATAATTTTATAGTTAGTTTGCAAACCAGAAAAAATGATAGTTATGCAACATGGATTTATTAAAGATAATTTTTGATTTTTGAAGTATTTAATTATACAATTTAAGCATTATTAAGGGAAATAGATTTTTTGAACTTTAGCTTTTGTTGTTTATGTTTTAATTTAAAAAATTTCGATTCATAACTGAATTTTGCGTGTTCCTGATAAAAGCATGAATCCAAAAATATTCTTTTGATTTGAAGATTAGTTGGATTATCTGATCAAATATTGTGAAAACCTTTAAACTATTTATAAAGTTTCAAGTTCCATTTTATATAATCGAAAGTTTTCTTCAATGTTACACTACATACACGTTTCAAATTGTAAAGAAAAAATTTTTCATTCCTCACCTAGTTAATTAAAATTTGAGATACAGAAGTACGGGGACCTACACATAGTTTTATGCTAGTTAATGTTATTGCATAGTAATGCAGAAATTATAAAATATTTTATTCAAGTATACTTCTTATAAAAAATCTTTACATTTAAACTAAAACCTAAATTTTTTTGAAAAAGAGATCTCAGTTTAATTGACATACTCTAGCTAATTAATATAATAAATTAACGTTTAAACAATACTTACATTAAAAATCTTCCACTTTGAAACTATTTTATTAAATATTATAACACTACAAATATAATCAAAATTATATTTTGAATACTATTGTAGTGTTATATGAAACGATTGTGCTTATTACTTTCAAAGCTGCTTATTACTTGTTTTTATTGTCTGTTAGGCATTTAAAAAATTTTAAATTTACAATAAGGGAATAAAAGCCGTTTGCGTTATATAAAAGACACAAAATAATAATAATGAAAACAAAAGTACAATTAGAGTTCATTTATTTAAATTCGGATATCGGAAAAGGTCAATCAGAATCTTAGATTAGTTTTGAAATCAGTTTCTTCATATACATGTTATAGCGAAAACTGTACTATATTTGTGTTCACAAACAAATGTGTTTGTTTGTGTTCACAAACAAAACTAATCTAGTTTGTTAATAAACATCGGTAATTTTTGCAAGTATAGAAAAGTTAGTATTAAAAATGTTTTATAAACGAAATACTGCAAAAACATAATGTGATGATTATGCAACATAGTTTTAATAGTTTTTAGCTATTCTATAAAATCGAAACAGTTCATATTATTTACGTTACTCATATCAATTTCGCTATATTGTTTTCACTAAATACGATATATTGCTTTTATGAAACGCTTTACATTTTTGCAGTATGTATTGTGTTTCGCAGTTATTGTTTTGTAGTTATGCGTTTATGAAAACTTCTATTATAATATTAATTCAGAATTTACATAGTATTTCAAATGGATTGAGAAAAAAAAATTTGTGTAGAGAAGCATTTTTTTTTTATTTTAATTTTTTAATTTATTTTATTTTTTTTTTTTTGCTTTTCTTTTTTATTTTTTGTTTATTTTTTTTATATATTTTTATATTTTTTTTTTCAATTTATTAATATTTTTTTTTTGTTTTTTTTTTTTTTTTGGGGGGGGAAATACAATTTCACTTAATGATAATTTGAAAATAATTAAATATTTTAATTTTTAATCTTTAAATTGCTTTTAAAAATTACGAAAAGAAAAAAATTATTTTTTTTTTTTAAATTTTCCTAAATAACATTTATGTATGTATGTATATGTACAAAAATAGATTCTTTTTTTTATTCTGGATAAGTTTACAAAGTTTTAAAATTTCAGTTTTTTTTTTTTTTTTTCAAATTTCAGGGTTTTTTGAATTTAATTTTTTCCTTATAATACCTACAAGATGAACAAAATTTTATTTTAAAGAGTTTGATAATCATTTTATGTCTGATTAAAAGTAATAAGATTTAAAATTATTTTCTGATTGTCAATATTTTTGTTCAATGTAATTTTTTATGTCTGAAAAATAATAATGAAAAGAAATATTAGATATAAAAAATATTTTATAAATATTAAATTATAATATTGTTGAAAAGTTCATTTTATTTCATGCATGCATGATTATTAAATAATTACTTGTTGAATATTTTTATTAGTGTTTTTACAGAAGAATTCATACATTCATAAATTCATAAATTTTAAAACTATATTTATTAAGTATGTATGTAAACCACAACGGGTCTAAGTAGTCTAGATGTACCCTTCGGGGGGCCGCCTAGTAAAAGTAATTTTATAAAACATATAAAGAAATGTATGAATATTAATCCCTTACAAATTTAAGGAACAGCTTTCAAGAAATTAGGTAGGAAATCTAATTTTAAAATGTATTGGTTTTTTTTTTTTTTTAATAAATAAATTTTATAAAATTTGTAAGCATAATAAATTGGTCTCTTAGAATTTTTGATATGTTATCGAGGAAAATATTATTATTTTATATACTTATACGGTTTATAGTATATTGCAATTGGTAGAAATGAAATATATTAATTTTTAAAAAATGAAAAATTAAGAAATTAACAAAAATATTTAATTTAATCGTACTAATCTTGATATATTATTCTGATTAATTAATTTTGTACAACTTGTAAAGTAAATAGGTGACCATTTTTTTTGTTTTTGTTTCCCATAACCATTTTATAATAAAAATGGTTGTTTTTAATAATAATAATTATTTTCAATATAGTTACCCCTTTTCTCTAGTATTTCTTTATAAATAAAATTATTACAATTTAAATAATAAAATTACATAAGAAAATTAAAGTTTTTTTTTAAACAAATTACACCCAAAAATATAAAAAAAAAAAGATTTAATTTTTTTTTTGGTAATCGTAATTCTTAAAAACGTGAGATGATAAGAATATTAATTTTATTATTAAATTATAAAAATAAATTATCATTTTTTTTTCTTTTGTAAAACTAAGAAAATTAATAAATATTACATTTTCAATATATACAAATTAAATTTTTCTTTATTTGTAATTTAAATTTAACAATTTTTACAATTCTTGTACGTATTTTTTTTTTTTTAATTCAAACAAGTTTTATATATTTTATAAATATTGAAAAATCCAAAATATATATCAATAATTATAGTATTGGACGCATCATTTCTGATTCAGTATAGAATTTCAAAATTTTAAAATTGATTTAAATTTGAAAAATTACAAAATTTGTTGATAATATCCAATCAACTAAATAAGTGATGGACCTAAGAGTATATGGCTGAAATTATTACGAATGAATTTTTTTTTTTTTTTATAAATAAGTATTTATAATACATAATACTTCTAATTATTTTGAAAATTTCTGATATTAATAATTGTACGCACATAAAATTTATATAACATTTTTTATTTTAACATAATAGTAATGATTTTTTTATTCATATTTTGGTTATGAATTTAAATTGGACCAAAATTAGAAATAAAAGCTATTGATTAAAATCATTTCTAATTAACTATTGTAATAAAATCCTATTGTATAATTAAATTTATAGAAGTTTATATAGATTTAAAAAGAAATTTAAATTTGTACGTACAAATAATTTAATTGAAATTAGAATAATAAATTAGACTGCCGCTTAATGAAATAGAAATTGCCGCCAGTTTCAATTGGTGAAGAATAAAACAATTAAAAATTAAAAAAAACTCCATTTGAATATAATGATACTTTTGAAAGGGTTTAATTAATTTAATTTAATTGTTTTAGTAGTTTTTTTTTTTTTTTATCTAATAACATTTTAATTATGTAATTGCATTTTTTTTTTTTTCAAATTTTATATTATATATTATATTTTATTATTTTTTTTTTTAATTTTTATTAATTTTTTTGTACTTTTAAAACACATATACAGACAATAATTCTAATTAATTATTAAAGAAGATTAACTAATTGTTTTCTTTTATATAATTTTTAAATATTAAAGAGTTAAAATCATAATGTAGTAAGGAAGTTTTTGATATTTAGTTTTTTTAATATTTGAACTTTTTGTAATTTTATTGTAAAATTCAATTTATAATTTTGATTTTAAGAACTATACATATATTAATTTACTAATGCATGTAAATTTTTTATAATGAAACAAAATTATTAAATTTTAAATAAGGATAAGGTCATGTTATGAATTTTTAATTGTGATATCATAAAAATCTAACATGGTAATCCCATATTACATTGGTAATTATACATTAAAAAAAAATAGATAAATCATTAGTAATTTTTATAATAAAATTTGTTTTTATTAATCTTCAAAATTCTAAAATATTTTTGGCTACAATAATTTGGGTATTGTGTTTTAGGAAATTTAATAATATTGTAGTATAATAAATGATAAAATTTATGAAATTACTATATTATTAATTTAAATTATTAATAATATATAAATAATACAACAGATTTTAAAGAAACAATTTTAAATTGTTTAAGGTATTCAAAATTATATATGTAAAAAAAAAAAACCAAAATAGTTAATCTAAATCAATAATTTACAATTGAATAGAAAAATAAAAATTTAAAATTAAAATAAATTAAGATTTAATTTAACGTTTATGTTTACTTTGTTGTAAGATTAATATAAACGCTAAATTTACAATTTTTTTTAATTTTTTTTTGAATATAATTATATTTCTAAAATCTATAATATAATTTGAAGAAAATTATTTCCTTAAAGAATAGAAGTCTAATACACTCATTTAATATTATTAATATTCAAATTATATTAATTTTTTTTTTGTTTGTGTTAATTATAAAAATAAAAGTTTAATTGTAATTCTGATTTATATAATATATATATATATATATATATATATATATATATATATATTTTTTTTTTAATTACTAAATTTTTATAATACAAGCATATTTTATTTTAATCTTTAATATTTTTAAATATAATGTAGGAGACTAAAATTATTAATAGTATAAATAAAGTAAGGAAATTTTAAATTACCTTATTTAAATTTAAGTATTTTATTTAAATAAAATTGACTTTTGTTTTTAATTAAATTAATATATTATTTTATAAGAACTAATTTCAGATCGATAATGTAAAAATTAACAAATTTTACTAAGTAGTTTTTGTGTTTTAAATGCAGTTTATTTTATCAACTGTTAAATAAATCTTTGTTTATTTTTTTTTTTCTTTAATCAGAATTACAATATTAAAATAAATTTGAATTTTATAATATATTTATTTTTTAAAAAATCAAATATAATTATAGAGTGTATTAGGTCACAATAATGAAAATCACATTTTAGTTTTTATATTGTATTGTTTTTTTTTTTGTTTTCTTTTCTTCTAAAAATGATTTCACATTTTATAATACATATAGCTATTAAATTTTTAATTTTGGTTGTGCGAATTTAAATTATAATTTAGTATGAAAGGAGAAAGGGGATCTATTATACATATATAATCACCGATGTTCTCTTAGGCGTATAACTTGAGATTAAATTGGATATTATTCAAAAATTTTATAATTTTTAGAATAAAATCAATTTAAATTCATAATTTAAGATTCTATATTGTTAACCTTAAGACTTTTGAATAATATCTTCATCATCTCAATTAATAAGTCTAATAGAATACATTTGGGTGGATAATGTATCTACAAACAAAACCAAAAAAAAAATGTTTCAATAAATATAAGGGGTTTTTTTTTTGTTTTCAGTATACACTTAGACTTTGTTTTCTATTTTTGATTACAATATTTAAAATTTCAAAATTAAGAGATTTTTTTTTTAATTAAAATTGTTTTTTACACAATATTTTAAGTAAAATATTTTTCTTATTTCTATTATTCTACAAATTTTCTAAATATAATTTTTTTTCATTTTTTGCTGTTGAAATTTATATAATCATATTCTCTTTATTTTGAAAAATTGAAGAGGAAAAAAATGTTTTTTTGGTTATTCACAAGCAGTAGTAACAGGTGGAAATTGGACATCATCAAAAATTTTAGCCGGTGTATCAATAGCATCACATAAATTGCGATATTTATCAGAATCTAAAAAAAAAAAGAATTAAATTTATAAATAAGGTCAAAAATACTTTTTCGTATAGAAAAATTACAAAATTAATAATATAGATTATAGAATGTAAATATGAAAAATTAAAATTTGCATTTATTTTTTCACATTTAAAAATCCAAAAAAATGAAAACATTCAAATTAAAAAAAAAAATTTAATATAAATGCAAATTTAAATAAAAACAAAAGTAAAAAAAAAATAAAAATGGCACACTCACACTCACCAGTCATGGTATGATCCGTAGTTCCCCTTAATATATTAGCATAAGTTATTTGTTTTAATGGTGATGCATTACGTACTCGTATTGGAGATCCATCATTTAAAGTTAATTCGATTACATCTTCCAGGGGATATCTTAAATCATGTACTTTAATCATTTTACATTGACCACCTTGAGTATCACAAAAATCATATATATATAGGAATCCATCTTCACATGCAACCAATAATTTTAATTCTTTTTCAATTTTAGTTAAACCGCATACATGTCGTAAATTTGGTTGGGGTAATTGGGCTGTTGCATATGCCCTATCTTGATTAAATACATCATACATTGGATTTGGTAAATATGATGTTAAAGTTTTTGTTAAATAACCAGACCAAGTTGATTCATAATCATCATAATCAGTACTTTTAGAATTATTTTCAGTTTCTGATGATGTTGAAGGATTATTGCTTGTTGTAGTATTACTATCTGATTTTTGGTCTGATGGTGCTGTAACATTTGTTGTCTTAGATGAATCTTTTGAAATGGCATTGTCATTATTGTTATTATTTTTAGTACTATTTGTATTATTATCACAATTATTATTATCATTATTACTAGTTTTACTATTAATTATGCTACGTCGTTCAATTGCCTCTACAGCTTTTTGATTTATTTTAAATATATGCACAGTTTCAGTATTTGAGCTGGCACATAAATAATCACCGCATCCGCTAAATATTAATGATGCAATACGAACACATCTTTTAACACCTCTGCGAAATTCATGTACTTTATGACCATTTTGTGTACAAAATAATCTAATCACAGTTCCACGTTCTGATGCTGTTGCTAAAAGATTACCATTTAATGAAAAACTTAATGCTGATAATTGGGTTTCATGAGCTTTTATAACTATAACTGGTTTCATTTTTTTTGCATTAAATATTTTCAATTCTCCTGAAGTCGTTGAAATTGGATATGCTAAATGAGAATTTAACGACAGTGCAAAAGTACCTAATTCATTGGGACAAACATTTTCAATGGAGTGTAAAATTTTCATATCACGTATATCATGTATATGAAGGCTGTCAGCTAAAAATGTAATGAAAAAAAGTTAACTATGCATAAATTATTTGTATAATATAACAAAACTTACCCAAACAGACAACCAAACGTTGACGATTCATTCGAACGCTGAGAATATCAGATGGGTAAACACAATTGCAAATGTCTAGCTTCTTTTTAAAATGCAACATTTTCAAAGAATTAGGTTTTGCGGTGGTCACAATAACAACTAAGCTGCTACCAAATAATCTTTCAACAATTTTAGTTTCTTCATTCTCCTTTGCGTAAATTTCTTCAAGCTTATCAACCGTTGGTAATGAAAATAAACGATAGCCAGTTTTTCCAACAACAGAAATGGAGCTAAATTAAAAAAAAAGACGATTAAATCAAATGTTTTACGTTCAATAAATTATATTATATATTCTTAATTTCTCGTTTAATTATAGTTAAATTGTTTGAAAATAAACGAATTCCAATTTACATAGTATGGACAGACAAATAGAATTAAATTGACCCAGAGTCCGACGCTCTACAAGAATATATTGTGTATATCAATGATTATTATCTCAGACCGCTATTTTTTAATGCCACAAACAAAATGCTCAATTCTACAATTGCAATTTATCCTTCGAACCATAAAACTCCTATAATGTACATACTTATAATACCAAACCTCCTATGTAAACATGCCTGTGTTCGAGCATAAATCCACACGAGGATAAAATTAGATATTACTAGTATACACAAGTAAAAGAGCTCCTTTCCCTTAAATCTTTTTTCCTGTACAGTGCAATGGACTTTAGCACATTTTTCATGTACATTATAAGAGAAAATAACCTAGTTCATTTTACAGAAAAAAAATGTGTTATAGAAATTAGTTAATATCTATGTCCAGAGTTCAATGTCCTTTCTTTGACCATATTCAAAACAATGTAAATAAACTTTTTAATAATTCACACTGTTGTACTTACAACAATCCATATTAAATGAACGCTTCGTTATTTGCTAAAGCGGAAGGAAGTGGAACTTCCTGTAATTCCATCCAAGACGTAAACCCTTACAATATGAAGATGCACGCAATGCAAAAACAACATTGTGTATAAAGTGAAGAAAGAACTTCACACTTCACACAACAACCCTATTATTTTATTTGAAATATTTATTAGCCATCTCTGGCTTCCAAAAATTGCCGTAGTGGACGGTATTTCACGTCCCCATGGCGGGGTATTGGTTAAAGTTTTCAACTAGCAATAATCGCACCTCGGTAAAACCTCATTGGTTACGATATCGCCTCTGCGCAAAGCTGAAGATACTGCAATTCAACAAATCACTTATACTATTTCATACATATTTTATCTGTGATCTATAAAACTGAAATGAAATTTTCATACAAAAAGTACAATGAATGAATAATCATAATAAATATTGGAATGGAAGAAAGGTAAAACACAAAGATTTTTTATTACACAAAAATTAAAAACATAAGAAGAATGTAATGTAAAAAAATTGCAGTATTGCATTGGATAGAAAAAGGATATTTTTATGTTGCAAAGTAAGCCAATAACAAAAATAATTATAATATATAAACATAATATATGTACATGTGTATATGTTATTCTTATTAATGAATATGGTAGTTATATACATTGCAATAATTCTAAAAATATGTATGTATGAAAATTATGTAATGTTATTGCAATATTCAATAACTTTGTTCAAATGTTTGTCGATAAAAAATCTTTTTCAAATGTACATACATACATCTTACATATACATTTTAAGAAAGATAAACTAATTTCTTTGTCAATATTTCACTACAATTCTTATTATGACAATATTAAGGAACTATACATTTTCTTAATTCCTTTATCAATTAAATTGTACTTATGGTGTAATAATAGGTCTATTTAGAATAAGTATACAAAGTTCTAAAGTTCATAGTTCATAATATTCTAAATAAAAAAACTAAAGTTATAAACACATTGTACAATGAATAAGTAATGAATATTGCATTACATGACGTGTAGTTTAAAAATCATATCAAATATAATGCGTAGGCTGAAACAGCGATTTCCAAGTATGGACAAATTACGAATGAATAAAGGATATTATATTGGTTAAATTAAATTTGTGCTTGACCGAATTTCTTTATATATACGTCGAACCTATATATGTACATACAAGCAACTCGCATGAACGCAAAACTCAGCTAATATTAGAGAAATTGGGGACTACACAATATTATACAAGTTTTGCTATGTAAAGGACTTGATATCTTGGCATGGCACATTGAATGTGAATCTACATTTTGATATGTATAGTATGTATGATATATGTATGTATGTGTATGGCAGATAGTATACTGCAAGTCTAGTTATCAATTTTATGCTTTAATGTACATACATATGTATATTAATGATATACAAATAAAAAATTTTTATGAATTAAAGGTTGTCATATACATTCAATTTTACATACATAATTACATGAAATGTATATGTAAATTTTTTTTAAATACATAAGTAGGTAATGAATGTGGGACCACACTGTAAATAACAACAAAACAAAACAAAAAAAAAAATGATTTTTGCTAAATAAAAATATTTTAAAAATAACTTTTTGTTGTTGTTGTTTTTTTCTTTTTACTTTGTTTTTTTCATAAAATATTTTTGTTTATGTTTAAGCGTGTCAGTGACATCACGCGTATTTTATTGTTATTTTTTATATAATAAGTATACCATATATAATATATACTTACATACATATGTATGTATAAGATATGATATATTAAATGTTTGTATGTAATTTTATGTTTTCTTTGTTTATTTAATTTAAAATTCTTTGAATATTCTTAATTTTTTACATGGGCTTTAAATATAATTATATACATACATACATACATAAATACATAAGTATATAATATAAATAAGTAAGTAGAATTTACAATTTTACTTTAATTATTTAATATCTATGCTTAAAATTAAAATGTATTTAAAATTAGTACATACGTACTTACATTTTTAATATTATATTGACAATAATATACTTACGTATACGCATGTATGTATGCATATGTATATGTGTTTGCATTGATAATTATTTTAGGTAAAATAAAAGTATCTTTGAATATTTTAGGTGGGTGGTTGGCATTGATTCAATTTTTCTTTTTTTTCTACTTAATACTTATGTTTTGTTTATTAAGATTGCTTTATATATACATATGTACATATGTACCTACATATGTTTTATATAGTGAATGTTTATTTTCATAATCTATATTATATTATTTTGTATATTAATATTTTCGTATTTTTAATAATAAAATTTATAATAATATTGTGTTTTTGTTGGTGTTTTTTTTTTTTTGGCAAAATATTATCAAGGTTATAACCTTGACAATAATATTGTGAAGGTGCAAAATATACCTATACAGCATGAAAACAATATTTGAAATATATTAAAATTATATACATATGTATGTATATACGTATTATGTATGTAATGAATGGATTTTGATAATATTCAATAAATGGGGGTACATAATATATTTAATTAGTACCTAACTTGATAATTTAATTTAAACATAAGATCTACATAGGTACTTACATATCTACCTATGCAAGTTAGCTAGTATTTTTTGATTTATTAGAGATTTACTTTAAAAAATTTTAAATATGTTATTGATAATTTTTCATATACCTACATATTTATTATATAAGACTATATATGTATATGTAGAAGATAATAGGGACGAATTTTTTAAGCCGATTATAGCCGATATCGTAAATTATATTCGTATTATTCAGAACTCAATTATTTCTTAATAAATTTTCTAAATAAAGTTAAAAAATAATTTTATATATGTACATACTTACATACATATGGAAGTATAATTCTATATATGTTGAACCTTCTGAACTTTAAAAAAGACAAAACGATCAGCAATAAAAGAATAAATTCTATTAGAATTTTTAATTATGCTAGGACCTATGTAGGTAATTATATTTATATGTATGTATACATATAATATTGCAAAGGTAAAAATTTGTTTTTTCAAATTAAAAGCAAAAACTCGCTGCGTTTAATAACTTTTTGAATTGGCTGAGTTTGATGTATGTACACATATACAACTTCTTCTTCTTATGTCTTAAAATCAACTTCTAAATGGGTCAAATTTTCTTCAAATCAATTCAATTTCTATTTTATTATGCAGTATTAATTTCAATTTACGATATTAATGTAGACATTTTAGTTAATATCTTCTACTACTAGTATTTATGTACTTATAATATTTTCTGGAAACTTGTAACTTGAATATTATTCCATTTTTTAATTTCTTAAATTTTTATTCGAAAATTATTCTAAATCTTTAAGTAAATTATTTGAATTAATTATGTATTTTAAGTAAGCATTAAAAACAAAAAAAAATCCAAAGTACGGGTAAAATTCTCAATAAAAAATCAATTTTTCTATGTTTTTCTATCATAATGGAAAATCAAATCCAAAATGTAATTTAAAAACTTTAAAATTTCTTACAAATGTTTTCCATTCTGAAAAGACAGAATTTCACAATTTATGTACATACATACATATGTATGATAACATTTTCAATTGAAATTTTATTTAAATAAAATTCTGAATTCAAATTTTGACAATGAAAAAAAAATTAATATTGCAAATATCTTTATTCTGTTATATAAACCTGATATTTAATAAATTTTATTTCCGTTAATTAGACAAACCATGAACGTAACGTGAATTTATTTTACAAAATTTAAATATTTATGTATATATACACACATATGCATGTTCAATATGTTAATAGAATAATCTATTATATTGAAAATGATATACTTATATACATAGCTGTATTCAATGCCGTATAAAAGAATTGTTTATTAAAAGAAAAACGCTAGGAATTAATAAGAAGAAAAAAATTCCACAGAATTTTAAATTTTTGTTAACCTACAATTAAAAACATTATATGTAAGTACGAGTATATTCACATAAACATACTTCCATATATTTTATTAGGCATTATGTTTGTAAGCATACATTCATACTAACTATCAATATACTTAGGTACAAAACTATTTTAATCAAGTAAATATTAACAAAAAAAAAATAAATATGCATAATTTGTTCGCATTTTATAAAACAAAAGTTATTTATGTAATTTTCTTATTTTCCTGAATTAATTTATTCAATACATACATATTTTTTAGTATTCAAAACAAAAGAAAAAAACAAATAATCATTATCGCGTGAACGTGACTTAATTTAATTTGCTTCAACAGCTGATTATGGTTTTGTGTTTTTTTTTCCTTTTTTTTTCTCTTTCTGTTACAGATATACATAGGTACATTTAAGTTTCATAAGTTTATAAAATACAGTGAAATCCAATTAAGTTCAATATGAGTTTTATCTAACTTTAAGAAAAAAAAAATGGTAAATTAAAATTTTATAAAATTGCAAATGAATTTTATTGCAATTTTTGTTAATTACATTATTGTTTTCTTAATAAATTTTATAAACTAAGTATATATACATACAATATAAATTTTAATTCATAATATACAAATTTTTTAATAAAGTCATCCAATAATTGTAGTAGATTTAGTAAACCCACATTGTACATTCATATTTTACATAATGAATTTTTTCTTTATTATAAAGGGTGACCTCTTCTTTACTTTAGTACAATTTTGACGTAATAGTAATTAACGTTAAATTGGTTGAGTTTGGTTTGCCATTTCACTGCCAGAGAACGTCAAAAGCCTGAACAATTTCTTCATTTTAAAAATTATAGAATAATATGAACTAAATACACAATTTACATTATGAGTTTAAATTTAATTGCTGAATAACGTGTATTAACACAATTTTACATGTATTAACACAAACAGTTCTGGAATCATTTATGTTTTTAATAAATATTAATTAAAAATATGACAATATAGATTAGCAAATAGTACTAGTAATAATTTTAAATTGAAAATTTGAATACAATTCACAATATTATTATTTGATCGAAAATTTTACTCAAACACCTACTTTCTTTTTTATTTTTATATAAAAAATTTTACAAACAATAAAATATTTTTGTAAAATTATTATTGCGTAATAAAAATATTTCTATTGTTTAAATTTAAAAAAAAAAAAATAAATAAAATGCTTTTATTTGAAATTATCTTAACAAATTTTATTTGATAAAAATTGCAAAATTTGCTTTTGAAAAATAAAAAAAAAAAAAGAAAATTAATTAAAATTGTGAACAATGAATTTTTAATGTCACAAAAGAAAAACTTTTTGTTGTTATTGTTTTTATGAATTAATTTTTATTTTCTTATTTATTTTCAGTCACATGCATACACAATGCACAAACAAATCAATCTTCTATATTGGTTATTTTATTTGTAAATTTTTATATCAGTGTGACTAATCAATAATTTTAAAAATTGATTATCGATTTTTTATTTATTTTTAATATTTTTATTATTTATTTTTAAAATAATTGCAATTTAATGCTAATTCTATAAGAGTTTGTTTTTTTTTTATAATTAAATTACTGTAATTGATTAATTAATAGATTTATATTAACCCTTTGTGTATAATATTAATTGTTATTTTGAATGTACATACCAACATACAAATAAATATTTACATATTTATAATAAATGTATAATCAAAAATAAAAAAATAATTTGAATGACAGAAATTATTATTAAGTACAGTTTTATTTAAATACGTAAGAAATTCTGTAATGACTTCAAATTTCCTGTTATTACGGTATTAAATCTTCAAATTAAGAGTATGACAATTGAAGAATAATTGTTAAAAAAGTACAGTGTAATACTGCAGAATTTGATATTTAATGTAAAAAATTAGGGAATAAAATTAAAAAGAGCAGTAAATAAATGCTAAAGTAAATTGAAAATAATATATGAATGAACGTACATAATATGTATGTATATACGTATCCATTTTATGCGTATTTGTTAAAAAATGCGCCTTTCTCTTGCTTGAAAAGAAAATTCACGCATAAGTTAGAACTTGTGTGTCGTAAATACATTTTATTTACCAGTTATTTTTATTATGTGTTATAAATACGAACTAATTATTTAATACATAGTAAATATGTACATCTATGTGTGTATGTATGTACATGTGTAAATTATTTTTTAAAATCCAAAATATTTGAGCTTTTTCTTGTTTATTCTAAAGTCGCACTAAAGTTTATTAGTGTGTTTTCAATATTTATTTATGTTTATATATAAAATCTGACAACCGTATATGTGTATATAATTATACATAAGAAAATGTTCTTCTACCTTCAGTGAGTAGAATTGACATACTCGTAATATACATACATATGTACCTACATAAGTAATAAAAATTTCATATAGTAAATAAATAAAGATGACGAAAATTTGTAAAATAACCTTTTTTTTTATCACGCAAATAATAATTTTAAAAATAACAAATATAAAGTATTTCCTTGTTTTTGTGACAAAAACAAAAACTTTATTTTTTTTTTTTTTAAATTTTAGTAGAAAACCAAAAGAATATCAAAATATTATGCAATAAAAATTAAGGAATGAAATTTTGTATGACTAAGACAAGGATGGTACAAAAAAATATTGAATTTCATAAGAATTTAATTACGTTTAGGAATGAAATTTGAACTTTTATTTTTGAAAAGAAATTTACTTAAAGAAACATAAATGCATACATAAATATGTATATATGCATATGTACGTAATGTGGTAACATTCTCTAGGATTATACATTAAAAATGTATCAAAGACATTAATAAAATCTGCGGCTTAATTATTTTTGATATAGACGGCAACATAAATATTAAAATCAGAGCAATAAGAAAATGAATCGTTAAAGCTTTGTAAAATCTTCATAAGGTATTCATTATGAAGATGTGAGTCCAATGAACAAATTCATGGTGATCTTTGTATAAGATTTGTAAATATGTATCACATCAACATCACATTGTAGTTTGCAAATTCTCTACAACACTAAATTGTTGTTTACAAAATCAGTAAATTACTGAATAATATTATATTATAATAGTAGAATTACTGCATTATATAGCATAATAATTACTGATACATATGTGATGGTATACAATATGTAAATAAACTCAAACTAAATCTACTCACTCTTGTTACACCATAATTATTTTCAAATAAAAAATCCATACATACTTATGTATATAAATTTATACAAAATAGTTAATAATTTATTGTAAAATAAATATACAGCATAATAAATATTTATATACATACACATACATATGGACATACATATTTACATATTAATTCTTAATTGCGTTATTTTACATTGTCATCAAAAATTTTTAACATAATTAAATTACGCAGGTAAAAATAAAATAAAATTGAAAATAAATTTAAATTACTTCGTTGAAAAAAGAAAAAAATGAGCACACCTTAAAAAACTAAAAAAATTTTTTTAGTTGATTATAAAAATTACCTTAATTATTTTCGAAAAATTAGTCAAAGTTCGTGCCGAAAAATAACAAAATATTCTAATGAAAAATAGATGACTCTATACTAATTACGTAAATATCTACATATGTATGTACATAATATGTTTATATATGTAATAAATTAATTATAGATATCATATGTACAGATATATGTATGTAAATATGTATGTAAGTATAGAAAGCAAATATCTTTCGAAAATAAAACGTAAATAAAGTTAGAATTTTTCTTGTTAATTTAAAAAAAAAATTTTTGTCAATATTTTACATTTTAAAATTTTATTACATACATATGTATGTATGTATATGTATGTATAAATAATAAATCAAATTATTGAACAAATTTTTATTAAATTGAAAAATATTAGTATAATGACAATATTTTTAATAATAATGTTTTGCAAAAAAATTAAAACAAGAATAAAAAGAAAAGAATATTTTTCTAAAAATTAAATTAAAAAAAATGTAAGAAATTTATATTTGTACAAATGTGTACGTATATACATATAATTACAAATTTAATTCTTCATTATCAATAAAAAAAATATTTTTTCTGTTTTAAACCGGATGTACGTAAATATTTCAAATATAAAATGGTATGTTCAATGTATGTATGTATGTACAATAATATACAGTACAATTTTATTATTACATACATATATACTATTTATTGAAAATGTATATATAAATAAATATATATATATATGTATTTATTTATTTGAAGTTCTT